TTTTTTTTCTGCACTTGAATGCATCTTTTTGGACATGTGATGAAAAAAGCTGTAAGTTAATTCACTAATATATTATAGACTAATTCTATAATGGTGTGTTTTTAAAACAAACTTTTGTATGTATGGAGCCGTTAAAAGGTTCATGAATTGGGAAACCCCCCCCCCCACCTCAGACGGGGACCGGCAGGACAATCTCTGCCCCCGACGGCACAACGTCCGCTTTATGGCGGTCATGAGACGCAGTTTATCAGTCCGAGTCACCGTCACGTGAACGTGACATCGGAGCCTTTTTATAGCTCCGGCCGGACGGGCTGATCTACGGCCGCAAAACATCTTCAGGCCGCCTGAGGACACAACTTCTACTCCAACAGGAATAGATGCTCCCTCTCTACGCTTCCTGGGTGGTTTTAGTTCTGTCCGAGGCACAAAGATGACAGAAAGGGCCTAAAAATAAACAACAGGGTGATGTTGATCGGTCATTGTGCTCTTCATCCTGAGGATAACAAACCTCTTAGTCTGGGGGGAGGATCGGGTTTAACAACTGGGTCATTTAAATGGACCAAGGTATCATTTTAATGGGTTTTTCTGATCGATTTATCACATCACAAACTAAAACAACCCAGATTTTGTTTTGGAGTCAGCATTCACTGCTGGTTTGGACAGTATTTCTACATTTAACGAGGCAGATAATGTACTAATGAACAGTTTCCTGCAGAAAACACCACAGATTTTCATGCTCTGTGTGGGGTTACTGACATTCCTCCAGATTTATGAGGAGGATATCCCACCTGAAAACCTGTTTCCAACTTTTGGGCTCAAAAACAGCCAGAATTTGAATCAGATTTTAAGGTTTGGGAGGTTTCTTTGTCCAATATGCCAATATATCTTTTGTTTTAGCGTGTTTCTATTTATTTGGGCTTTATTTGGAACTTGTCAGACCCTTTATTATACTTAACCAGACCACATTTTCCTCCAGCTGATTCCAGCCTTTTCTTACCCTTTTGAGGCATTTGTCTTCTAACTTCTAACAAACTACTGGTTTGTGATATTTATTTTATCTGTTTTGGCTTTGTTTAAATGGCATTTGAGCTACATATGGTCAGTGGAAAACACTTGAAAAAGGCAAATCTATTTATTTATAAATTACATATTCACAGTATGAAACAGCAGTTCGGCACCTCATTTTAATTATTGCTCTTACATAATTATTATTATTGCTATTACAACTTTGTGCTTGAGTATTTAGGGCTTTACATGAACTTTTGGGGTACTTTGTCCTGATAACACACACATATTTTTAGTTACAGCTTTGAACCAGAGGTATGAAAGGTTATTTCCAAAGTGTTTGCTTCTTTAAGTGGAAGCAATACTTTCAATTTGTGCTTTTTATGATGTTATATATTGTATTGGTGTCCTGACTTGAATAAAAAACAATGCATTGCAACTCCTTAGCTTTTAATGATATTGTATCTAAGCTTCTCCTCATTAAAATGCCTTTTTTAATGACTGTGGCTACAGTGTGTTGCAAGTGGGATTACTTATAATACATTTCCAGAGATTGTTTTAGTCATATTTAGTTTTTTTCCGTGTTCTTTGTGCCTGAAAACCTTCGCAGTATGCTTTCGTGTGCAGCCCTAACACTTTGTGCCTGAGTATTTGGGGCTTTACATGAACTGTTTGGGTACTTTTTCCTGATAACACACACATATTTTTAGTTACAGCTTTAAACCAGAGGTATGAAAGGTTATTTGGTTCTTTTATGTGGAAGCAATACTTTCAATTAGTGCTTTTTATGATGTTATATATTGTATTGGTGTCCTCACTTGAATAAAAAACAATGCAACTTAGCTTTTAATGATATATCTAAGCTTTTCCTCATTAAAATGCCTTTTTAAATGACTGCTGCTACAGTGTGTTGCAAGTGGGACTACTTATAATACATTTTCAGAGATTGTTTTAGTCATGTTTAGTTTTTTTTCTGTGTTCTTTCTGCCTGAAAACCTTCGCAGCATGCTTTAGTGTGCAGCCCTAACACGGACAGCCGGTTGTCAGA